GCTTCTTTCATTATTATGATTCTTTTTGTTCTCTCTCTCTCTCTCTCTCTCTCTCTTTCTCTTTCTCTTGCCTTTTATTTTTTACCTTCGACTTCCTCCTTTGATTTACTATTTAATCTTTACATTGTTTTTACATCGTATTCAGATTTGCCTTGTCAGCATAGATTTCTTTTTGTTTCATTTTCTATGGTGGAACATTTTTTTATACATATTCTTTTCTTACCATGTTTCATTCTTTCACTTTTCCTCTATTAGGAATTTTCTTGCAGCCTCAAAATGTTTGTATTCTTATTGATCTTCTAAATGATGAATCATTTCATGGAAACATTTTATTCACAAATCAATCCATGTGGAAGTAAAGTTTATCCTAGGAAAAGATGGTTAAATCTTGCCTGTCATTTGCCTTTTCTCTCATTATAAGTATTCAATTCATAGACTAATAATTACTTCAACTTTGTCCACCTCATCATTTTCCACCATCACACTACCACCGCCTCCTACACTTAATTACCACTCTTTATACATGATGTTTTCCTTTGAATATTCAAAACAGTTTTCGCCTTTCATTATATCAACAACCATCCCAATTCTACTAAGTAATAACATACATCTCAATTCACCAACAAGAAAATGAATCAATCCCATGAAAAGTAAAAACACCATTGACATTAACTATCAATCTACTCTATTTTTACATGTGTATTAATAATCTAAGTCTCCTTCAATTAGATTGGAATAGTTTGTTTACATTTTTATGAAGAGAAAATTTTTTTTTTTCAATATGAATTTTCATAACATGTATTATATTCTCAATGATAAATATACATATAATTTGTTTTCGTCCTATTTTCATATAATTATTATTGTTTCTGTTTACTTCTTATAATATATATTATTAGGTTCGAATCGATTGCATTTACAGAACGATAATAGAACTGAAGAAAATGGTATTCGAGAAATACTAGTATCATCTATCTTTCTTTATATATCCACGAAAAGAGATCATTTTTTTCTCAGATCCTCCTACTTTCTCTCTCTTTCTCTCTCTCTTTCTTTTGTATTTCACCAGAATTTCATGATGTTCCATGATGATTATATCTAAAAGTTTCAATTTTGTGGGTTATATAATTTACTTTTTTATTTATCTTACCCATTGAACTTTATTTATATGTATGAATCCCATGAGTTTCTACATGTAATTGAATATAATTTAATTTTTTATATTTTTATTTTTGATCAATCATTACCAATGGCTGTTAATCAACATGATGACAATATCATTTTATTGATTAAGCTACTTGTCCTTTATTCTTGATTGATAAACTTGATATGTTTATATAAAATTGATTATAATCATAATTCATGATTCTGACTATTGTATTGTTAAATTGATACAATGATCTTCTAATAAGCTTTGACAGTCTAATTTACCTACTTTAGCCTTTTTTTTGTCTCCCTCTCATCATGATCATCTTGATGATCGATTCTTATTATAGTTGATCAACTAAATCTCTGATTCTGGTTTTATTCAGAATCATTCACCTTTATACCAAATCTGACAATCTTTCCATGACTATGGTCAGATTATTTTGGTAATAACTTTTTTTTGTTTTCTTTGTATTCAGATTTTCAAGACATACTCAGAAACTTATCTCATTGAGTCGCCGAGGTAACTGTTCATTATCATGATAAACATTATTATTAACACTTATCATCATGATTACATTATTATTGACTTGACATAAGCTTACGTATTAATTGTTAATCTTTACTCACTCACTCAAATACATACACACACTATCAAAATCCGGTATTACATCATCAACATGATAGTTTTTCATTTGTTTGAATCATTGATGATTATTTATAATAATAGTTTTTCCAATAATAATACTAATTGATTGATAGTATTTTGATTGTCTGTGTGGTTGTTGATAACGAACAACCTACAATTAAACCAATTAACTAATTAGTTTTACGATTGTAAATATCAAATTGTAATTATCATCGTTTTCTATGTGTTAATCTTGTAAATTTATTTGAAATGTTGCTGATTAATTTTATCACCATTTATATTATACATGTTAGGTTTACTTTTGCCAAATCTTAAATAATTATAATCATTTGATTAGTCTAATAAAATTGATTATCAAATCTTGGAAACAGATTAATTGTTGCAGAATTAGAGAAACAACATAATTCTCTTGGTGTTAATCTATTAATCATGTTTTAATGTGATGAAGAAGAGGAAGAAAAAAAAATTAGATCCTTACAAGGTTAAGTTTCTAGACTAATCTGTGATTAAGTTGAGAGATTAAATCTCATCAGTTTTGACGAAACTTAGTGAAAACCAATTGAAAGATTAGACTTATCATCATTTACATGATGGTTATTATCATAATGTTTTGTATCCATAGATTTATAAATAAATCATCCAAGAAAAATGATCAATGGTGATGGTTGATTATCTATTGATTGTTTCAATATTGCATTTTTGCAAATTATCATCACCATTGTCATCTTTAGGAAATGATGATCATTTGGTTATCATGTTGATTACTTTACTGTCCAAAATCAGAAACAATATTTTCTGGTCAATTACCTTTTATTATTTTCTTGTTTCATCCTCCATTTAATCTGAATCATTGAAAGTATTGAATGTATATTATTTCAAATATCGTTCATTTCATGATTTTCATTGATTTTTCATCTGCTTCATAACTTCACAACTGAAATTCATGTAAATCTATGGAATAATATACATTTTATATTATTCTTGGAACAACATTTTCCTCTCAACTTTATTTCTCCCTGAATTTCAGATTGAAAACCATTATCTTGATAGAAAATAAACTCACACCTTAATATTATTGAACTTCCATCCTGATATGATAACGATTATGAAGCAATAAATGGACTGTTTATAAATTTCAGAATTATCGTTTATTGTCATAATTATCATTTTGATCGTGAATTATATTTTCACCATAAGTCTCATAATTGGAACCTTTTGGAATTCATATTTCTTGTTGAATAACTGTAACTAGTAAACTCGTAAAGATAATTACATTCAAAATGTCAAATCAATTTTCATGATGATGATGATAACTGAGAAGATTATAATACCATTAGAATTGATTATTGAATTATAACTCAAAGAGAGAAACGGATAAGTCAGAATTTTCCTCTTGAAAGGAGAAGAAGAAGAGAAAAAAGTTCTCATAATGATAACTTATGATCGAAATTATTTTCTCTTGGAGCAAGTAAAAGAAGAGGAAAAAAAGTTCTAATCATCTGATTCGAAATCCATAAGTTATCGTTTTATTTTTGATTAGATTTTTCATCTCACTCATCTCACTCTCTCACTTAATCACTCACACACAATATTCAACCTTTATTAGGAACTCATATTTAATATCCTATTATCATCATTATCGTCATAATCATCATGATGCTTGTTATTGCATTAAAGGTTGTATCAAGTTATCAAGTAAAAACCATCAATCATAATACAAATGTTGATAATATCATGAAGGAAACATATATTCACTTATAATCAATATCATGACAGAATCAGAGTTACTTGAATTTTGAGTTTCTCAAAGATAATTTTCAATACCTTTACTTTATCATTCACAAGTAAAACTGATTATTATTGTTTGAAAATTTCTCTTAGACAATTGTGAATATTGGATTGAGTGGGGAAATATCTCTCTCTCTCCGTCAATATAATACATTATCCTAGTTGATTAGCCATGAAACATTAGTTTCAACATGAGTTTTATGATTGAAACTTTTCAAGATTTATTACATATCATGAATATCAAACTTTCGCTCAACTTTTTTACCGTTACTTTTTTTTATATGTTATATGAAAATCTTAATGCATATTTTTTAAGTCAATGGATTTTTTGTTAGTAAAAACTTAGAAAATTTACTCACATTGTGTTCAGGGTGATTAAGATTGTTAACCATTAACCTAAACTCATTCACAAAATCAATCAATGAACAATCAACTTATTGCTGCTTATTTTGAAACGTTTTCTCATCATCACTTATCTTCATTATTATTATTTTTAGCCGTAATATTAGTTACAATAATAACAATCATGATGATAATAATACACCAAGTTTATATTATCATGAAATGAACGGTTTCAGAACTAGAATCATGATGAAAAAACAACACAAGTAAATCAACTTTAAATTACTTTTCTTACTATTCATATATTTTTCATGTTGATCATGATGATGATGATAATCATCAACGTTATTATGATCATTTGGGCCATTTATCATTTGATAGTGAAGTTAGTTAGTTAATTGAAAATGGTTAGAGAGAGAGAGAGAGAGAGAGAGAGAGAGAGAGAGAGAGAGAGAGAGAGTAATTAATATAATTCAATGTAATCATACATTCAATTTCTGGGATTACAATTTGCTTTTACTATTTTGATTTGATTACACTGGTTAAAAGCATAGCAATTAATAAACTACTGACAAATTATTAAATTAGTTATGATTAACGTTAATTTTTTGTTGTTGTATATCTAGTGTATTATTTAATTTGATTTGATTCGGTAGCATGAAAATCATACAACCATAGTTACATTAAATTGCCATTAATTGTAATAGTTGATTGCTACGATTTCCCTTTTGCAAATTGATAACTATTTTTGCTCCACAATCAATGAGTATGTGACATCATGAATTATACTCATTGATTAGTGTTGATTTTAACTTGATTATCAATGATGATTATTGTCAGCACATTTTTTTATCTTAATCATTTGATTACTGATTTTTTTAGCCTATTGAAACTAAATCAACTCAACTATTTATAACTTATTGTTACTATATTTGGATCAGTTTTATCATCGATATTAATTAATTTTGTATTATAATGATAATGAACACTAAATGATAACATTTTTTGATAAATTTTCTCAATTTCATAATAGATCAGCTGATTGACTTAAAATTTTTCTTTTAATTTTCAACAGGAAAACTATGAAATTCAATGGGACGAAGACAGGAGCATAGTGGCCAAAGAAATTGCATATAAATATCTTAATTTTGAATCGAATCAATTTGTCGATATCGTTAAGGAGGAAAGTCGCAATAAATGCAAAGCTAATCTTGATCTTGCTTCGAGAGACCTTTTTCTGGACAGTGCCCTGTAAATAATTACGATTCTTATCATTGAGATGATCTTCATTATCCGTTCTTAATCCTTTGATTACTTTTCGATAAGACTTTGAATAGATTATTGTTTTAATCTCTATCTCTCTCCATCCATGATGTTGTTTCTTCAAGAGAAACTAAACTCGCAATGAACTTTATCATTGGCTCTTTAATTGCAAAGATTACAATTAGCTAATGAGACAACAAAAGAAACAATCAAAACGGATAATGATAATCATCTAACTCATCATTATCAACTTTCATTTCCTCCCTTAAGTCTTAATGTTTTGCCTTGATACTAATTCTGTTTTGTTTTTTCTTCTTTTCTATTTGTTTTTTTCCTCAACTTTATCATCATCATCATGTTAATCATTTTCTTGATAAAATCATCTCTTCAATGGCTCATCTCATGCATATGAAAACGTTGTTATGGCTTTTATATTTTTTTTCAACTTCTATTGGATGTAAACTGATAATCTGCTCATTCAACTGGTTGGGTGTTGGTATAAAAATCCATAAATCATATTACAAATATAATATACAAAACTTTGAATATGAATCTTGTCGACATGTAACTCTGTCCATTTGGATCACATTGGTTTTCTTTAACATTATTTTTCCTCCTTGATGGTGATCATCATTTTCACCAACCATTGATTCTGACTAATTGCTGATCCCTGGACGATGATGATAATATCATATTTCAATTGGAAACTATTATTTATCCCTATTCTCTCTCGATTCTCTCCAATTTCTCTCTTTCTCTCTCTCTGGTTCAACAAATATATGTCTGATTTCTTGATTGCGGTGATGATAATCATGGATTATAATTATGATGATGCAAAAAACCACAGAGATGTAAAATTATTTTTATCAACCGATCCATTCAAAGAGTTTGAATCTTCAATGTATTTTTATCGTTATCTTCAATGGAAATGGTTAGAAAAGTTACCTGTAACCAAAGATACCTTTAGGATGTACAGGGTACTTGGTAAGGGTGGTTTTGGTGAAGTTTGTGCGTGCCAAGTACGTGCCACGGGTAAAATGTATGCCTGTAAAAAGTTGGAAAAAAAGAGGATAAAAAAACGTAAAGGCGAATCCATGGTATTAATTGAGAAGCAAATTTTACAGAAAATTAATTCACGATTTGTGGTCAGTTTAGCTTATGCATATGAGACTAAAGATGCCCTTTGTCTAGTATTAACCTTAATGAACGGAGGTGACCTTAAATTTCATATCTATAATATGGGTGGTGAACCTGGTTTCGATCTGGATAGAGCTCGTTTCTATACAGCCGAGGTTACTCAAGGATTGGATCATCTTCATTCCCAGGGGATCGTTTACCGAGACCTTAAACCAGAAAATATCCTTCTAGATGATCATGGTAATTTAATCTAATAATCCATATATCATCTTAATCATCAGTTACTATTATCACAACAAGAAGAAAACGAAGAAGAAAAAAACATCTCAATGAAAACAACAAAAGACATGATAAATCTTGATGATATTGAATACACACCCAATGAGATAATATATATTTCCTCCAGTGTCTTGACATTGTATTCTTACTCCTCCTCATCCTTCCCACCGAGTATTTATCCTCTTCTTTTCTCTCTTTACCTCACCTTTCAATTCATATGAATAATTTTCTGAGTTTTTTTTCTCTTATTCTTCTTCTTCTTCTTGTTGTTCTTTTTATTGTGATTAATGTGATTTGTATTATAAAGAAGGATTTTAACATTGGTAATGTTCTTATTGCTTATATGTAGTAATTTTTGTTTTTCTTCGTTTTCTCTTGTTGATTATTTGTATTTACAGGTCACGTAAGAATCTCCGACCTTGGGTTAGCAATGGAAATACCAGAGGGTGAAATGGTTAGAGGAAGAGTTGGAACTGTTGGTTATATGGGTATGTCTCACCTTTGCCATTTTCTCTCTTGCAATTTGGATTCTGACACCAGGATAACAAGTTGTATTATATAAAAAGCCTCCATCGTATACTCATAAGCCACCAACCAGTAAAATCCAATGTAGTATTTACATAGAATCAAGGAAGGATTGAAGACTCTCTATCTCCCATCTTCTTTTTTTTTTCTTAACCAGTGCTACAAACTCACTGAGGGAAATTAATTTGAGAAGAGAAAAAGAAAAAGATGATAAATAGGATTGAAAAAAAAGAATAGAAGAAAATGATTGCGAAATTATTGCGAAAAGAGTTTGTTTCTTCACCTGAATTCGTCTTCCTTCATCTCTTACTCTCTTACCTTTTATGCTTTGAGAGATCGTTTTTATTGAACTTTACCTGAAGACAGGTAGTGATTTTCTCTCTCTCTCTTTTCCTGATAAATAGTAACGGTCATGAGCAATATTATTATCCAGGAAGCTTCCTGTTCAATTTCTTGTTCCTATGTGATTATTTGTCTGTTGGTGTCTTTATCTTCCTTCTCAGCTCTCTCTCTCTCTCTCTCTCTCTCTCTCTCTCTCTCTCTCTCTCTTTTCTGATAAATAGTAACGGTCATGAGCAATATTATTATCCAGGAAGCTTCCTGTTCAATTTCTTGTTCCTATGTGATTATTTGTCTGTTGGTGTCTTTATCTTCCTTCTCAGCTCTCTCTCTCTCTCTCTCTTTCTCAAATCCATCTCTTCCTCCTTCATCCCTAATGTTTTACATCTTACTTACCTGTGACGAGAAAGAGAATCAAAAAAGAAAACCTCTTTCACTCTCACAAATATCAGAAAATTCTTATGTAATATTATACAAAGAGATTTTATTTCCATGTTTTCACCATTTCATATTCTTCACAAGTTATCATATAGCTATTTCATGGTGAATTCTATTAAGATTGAATAAAACTCATCCATGAGAGATTTAGTATGACAGAGATATCTCTTGAAAAGAAATAGAGTAAATTACTCTGTAAATTCAATATCTTCCCTGAATTGAATTTCTATTGTGTTGATAATCATGATGAAAAAAAAAGTAAATTAAATTTTACAGATTATTTCAATTCTTAGATTGTTGATAATTTTATCTTCAATGATAAAATATTAACTTCTTACTTGCTGATTGTTAAATGTCTACTTTTTTATATTTGATTGTGTACCACAATTATAATCTATTAATACTAATTCAGTTAATTTTTATATTGAATTTTTATCTCAATCAATCATGAAACTTTTACCTTATTATTACTTGGAAAGGTAAATATCAATTTGTTTATCGATTCCAATTAATACCAAAAGTAAATCAATTTACAATTTCAATCAATTTCATCTTATCGAATCTTGATAAATACAATTTACTCGTATAGCACTAGCAATCAGTGTTGACAATTTAATTGCAATTACTTTCATTTTATCTACAATCTTCCAACAATTTAGTATTTTTTTCACTCTCACTCTATTTTCAATGTTAACCATTAACTATGTTTACTTATTATTATTTTAATTGTAATAACATAAATTAAGTTTCATCTTTATCCAGGTAATACTAATACACTAATATACTAATTAATGTATTGAGTAAATATTTACTTTAATTTGGTCTCCTTTAGGCTGTGATATTATATAACAATCAAGAACCAGAGAATTAATCATTTTGGGTTTTAATTCAATTATCATTTATTGTTCATTGGATAATAGTAATAGTAATAGTTTTTTTTTCTTCCAATTACTTATCCATCATGATCAATGAACAATGATGATAATCAATTTTAACTATTAATGAAATAATACAAACGATTATCCTGATGTTTACATTCACAATTGATATTAATGATTATCATGATAATCAGTTGATTTCTTTCTCACTCTCTTTCTCATTTAGCTCCCGAAGTGATTGATAATGATAAATATGCCTTTAGTCCAGACTGGTTCAGTTTAGGTTGTCTTTTATACGAAATGATTGAAGGTCAAGCTCCATTTAGAGCCCGAAAGGAAAAGGTCAAACGGGAAGAGGTCGAACGTCGAGTCAAAAATGAATGTGAAAAATATTCAAATAAATTTAGTGAAGATGCCAAAGCAATATGCCTATCGGTGAGTATTCATCATCAACTTAATTACTTGAATCTTTAATCATCTTCCACAATTATTACCTCATCATCTTCATCGTCTAATGTATCATCATCTTAACCATTATCCCTTGATTACCTTTCCATGTTTCTATCTGCATCTCTATCTTTTTGCTATCTGTTTTTTTTTCATTTCCTTCCTTCCTGTATTATCCTTCATCATTATCTTCAGCATCTAAACCTTTTTTTCATCTTAATTCTCATTTATTATCGTCATTAGTTACTCTCGAAAAAAGTTCCTGATCGTTTGGGATGTAAACTTGGACGTAAAGGAGCAAGTGAGGTTAAAGCATCGACTTTTTTCAAGACGGTTAATTGGAAACGCTTGGAAGCGGGTATGCTACAGCCACCATTCATTCCGGATGTGAGTCTATTTGGTTAGATTAACCAACCAGCGTCATCTTTTTCATGATCATCATAAAACTAATGAGCTATTCTTGAATTCAAGTATAATGAGGGGATATAATATAACTGTGATGATGATGAAATTAGATTTGATGGAGAATAATGTTTTTCTATTCATTTTCTTGTTCTTTTCACCCCTTAAATTGTTACCTTAAAACTTGAGACTCAAACTGTGTGTTAATCTAATTTTAATTATTTTTCTCTATCTCTATCTCTCTCTCACTTTCAGCCTCATGCTGTTTACGCCAAGGATGTTCTGGATATTGAACAATTTTCAACGGTTAAAGGAGTCAATTTAGATGCTAGTGATGATTCATTTTACAGTAAATTTAATACTGGAAGTGTTTCAATTCCATGGCAAAGTGAGATGATTGAAACTGAATGTTTTAAAGAGTTAAATGTTTTTGGTCCTGCAAATACGTTACCCGATGATCTCAATTTTGATTGTCCACCAGTAGATGAGCCAAAGGGTTGCTTCCAATTTCTTAGGAGTAACAAGAATAAGAGGAAAAATGTTCACATTTCCAAGAGTAATGCTCAGATTGGTGATGATGTGACCTCACAAAATACCACAGGGACAGCAAATAACACCACTAAGGAACCAAGTACAGCTAAAAGTACCAATTCCATCAGTTAACATTGCCATCATCATCCAAATACCATATATATATATAAAAAAACCAATAACCATCATAGTTTCATGTACAAAATAATTAATTTGTTTTAAAAAACACTCATCGTGACATCAAAAACATACAACAACAACAATGTTAATAATATCTACATGTAATCAATCACAATTATGAGAATCAGGAAAAGTTGAAATAGTCAATGCAAGGAAAACCAGTACATATACAAAGGAAAAAGATTACTAATTATATCAAATATCATCAACTGATTGTTGTTGATCATTTTACCTAAATTCAGAAGATTTACCAAATTATTTGGAACTTGAATTTGGAAATTTATTTACTTTCATGGTTCATATGGATATGGATAATCTCAAATTTCCCTGAATTGTGAAACGTAAATGTCTGAAGAGTCCAAGCTCGAGTTGAAACCAATCAACTGACCAAGACAGTGACCAACTGGATAATATACCTGATGGATTACTAATACCCAAGAGTTGATTTCGTTTGTTTCCTCGAACTTTTTTTTCTGTCACCGACGAAAACGCTGTTGAATAAATATAAATCCACGATCTCGTTTTACTATCACAGAGGAAACATTGAAATTACTCATGAATAAAAAGAAAAGCTTAGCCGGAGATGAACAATCAACTAATTCTCTACCAATTTTGATTCATTCGTCAACGATACACAAATGAATGTGACCTTTATTGTATATAAATCAGCTGATTGATCGTTTCCGTAATGACCTGTTGTTGATTTTGATGTTTCTTTTTTTTTGTTTTGTAAAAAATCCATTGATTCTGATTAACTGATTCACCAACGAACCAGTAAATTTTATCATGTTAATCATAATCAGTTAATTTGAAACAACATGAATGAAAAACAAACAAAAAATACTGAATGAAACAGTCTCATAATTAATGATAAATTATTATGATTAATTGTTACATTCACTTTATTTACAATTTGTTTTTACACTTTTTCGCGTAAAAATTAATCATTGATATTAATTAATGTGACACATCATTATCATTATGATTTAGTTAATTTTGTTCTGTCATTTAATTTCCGATTTCACAATTTGTTAAATCATTTGGCAAACTAATTATACAACTTTTTTTTATATTAATACAATATATATATTGATACCCTCTCTCTGTTCACAACAATTAACTTAATTGATAAACATTTTGCAAATATCAACAATTAACTTTTTTGATTGTTTGGTTGATTTTTTTTGTGCTGATGATATTAATTACCTTTTGATATTATCATTAAGAAAATCATATAAATTGTTATCATTATTATTGTATTACACAAATGATAAGCAAATTGATTGTCAACTGGACAACAATTAACTTCACACTAGTGACAACAATTATAATGATGATGCCATGAAGCTTTTAATTGTGATTATGATTGTAATTGTAACTGTCAAATCTTTTTACCTTTTAATTTTGTCCCATAATTTGTTTCCATTAATCGTTTAATCGTATTGATTGATTGGCAGCTACTAAACAACAACAACAACTAAATTAAGTGATTTAATTACACTCGGGTAAAAAAACAACACAACTACATACGTATTAATATACTAACAATTAACTTTAATTGTAAATAATTAACCACAATTCCCTTTTCACTCAACAAACAATTGGTAAATACAATTCATCATCAAACTCATTTATTAATTTGTATATTTTGTTGATTTAAAAGGTAACAATTAATCAAAAAGCAAAACTCAATACATATCGTTGTAAATTAAATGTATACCTTTTAATCATTACGATTAAATCATTGTGATCAGGTTAATTGTGTAATATACAATTAACTTAATCATTTTCAAATTTATCGAGTCATTTATTATCATTATGAGAAAGTAAAAATTCAAATGTAACATTTCAGTAAATCATCAAACGATTAAATAATTGTATTAATCATTTCAATTGAATAACAATTAATTGATTTACAAATGAGAAAAGTAATCAATCAATTACAATTGTAAACGATTAACTTAAATAACTACAATTTGATTAACTCTTGAATGGATTCATTTGATTCCTATGATATGAAACTTGATCAACTTTAATTGTTTTCAATTGTATTGGTCAATTGTGTGTTGATAGTTTATATTGATTTTCATCATCTTGACCATTCACATAGATCAGATTACCAATGTTAATAAATAACAATCAGATAAATGATTAACTTGGATTTTATTGATTAATTGTTGTTGATTAATTCCAAGAGATCAATCAATTTCCAACCTCAAAGTGTTGACCTTTTTTTTACCATTTTTATCATTGGAAATACAATTTGATTGTTATGATTAATATTAATTGACTAAAACCAACTGAAATATATTTGAACCATGTTGATCACAATTAATTGCCACGTGATTAATATTAATTATATGGTAAAGTTGAACAAACTTATCCAACAAGATCAGTAATATTAAGATGTTGGTAACAATTTGTTTAATTAATGACAACAATTTAATCCGATTAGTGTTTTTAATTTAAGTAATAAAAAAAAGCAAATAAAACTTTTTCATTGTTTACCCGAGTTAACAATTAACTAATTACAATTGAAATACATTCCCGGAAAGATTGCTTGTTAAGGATTTCGATTAGCAATCAAGGATGTGAAAGTTAAGCTACTTGGCTGGTTTTGTTTTACTCCTCACAATTGTTACTTTACCGATTGAAATTACAATTAAGGTACAACAATTACCATTGGGCATCGTAATTGTTGTCAAAATAAATCATTTGCAATGATTATTGATCAATAATTAATATTCAACGTGAGTATAAAACAAGAAACTTTTGTTTGGTGATAAGGAGAAAACAAAACCTGTCCAATTATTAAGGTTTTCTTGTTTGTTGAGATCATGAATGGTCAGTGATTTTTTTTGTTCTATCGGATCAGATTATATTGACTGGTCAGTTTAATGGACCTAAGAGGGGAGGGTAACGTGTTATCATGAAAGGTAACAGATGATGAGGATAAGCTTTTAAAAGTAACAAGAAAAAAACCGAGATGATGAAGAAAGATAATGATGATAAAGGATGAGGAGAGAGAGAGAGAGAGAGAGAGAGACCTTCAAGGATGCAATTGGCTTGCGTTGTAGGCTCATCATCTTCATCCATTTCTCTCCCTCCTCTTCCTCTCTCTCACTCTTACTATTACTCCTTTTCTCACTCTTCTCATCATCACTCTCATCCACTTCTTTCATGGTGACTTATTGTTTTCTTTTTATTTTTTACTATTTTCATCCTGAAAGTATTTGAAACTTATTTAAGTGATTCTGGTGTTCAGAACGATTTCAATCCGATAAAAAACTGATCGACATCATATAACAATTAGAAAAATAAGTTAATTACTAGTAAACCATCTTAATTTAAATCATCTTCTCAGTTAAAATGAGAATTTACTTGATATTAGTGAACTTTTGATTCTAACGGACCCAAAATCTTCTTCGTTACTTCCGTTTGTTTCGTTGCAACTAACTAGTATATTTTTGTTTTCTCTCTCTCTCATAAAGAGATGAAATTAATTTTCCATCATCTTATTGCGGAAACTTTGATCCTTTTTGATGATCAATAATTTTAATTTTGGAAAAGAGAAAATCGATTAATTGTCCATCAAAAAGTTGATTGTGATTTAAGGTTAATTGACACCTGAGATAATAAGTGAACCACAAAGAAAGAGGAAAAGTAAGTAAACATCAATCAAATGTCATCCTTATCTTCATCATCTTCATCATTATGAGTCCATCTTTTTGTTCAACGATTCAACTGAACAATAGATTAATCTGATTCCTTTGGAGTAATCAAGCAAAACGAAATCAACAAAAGGATAATCATCATCATCACCATTATCATTCTCATCTCTGATTATACAAAAGGATAAAAGGAAGAAAAAGTTTTTTCTTTTTAAAGAAAAAAAAAACTAAGAACTCGAAAGAGAAAGAGACAAATAAAGAAAGAAAAAAAGTTCTAACGATAAACTAACGACGACATTTAATCAAAGACAATGATCGGTTCAACTTTATCGTTGTTATTATTATCTTCATCGTCAGCATTATCGACATCAACTCCAGTGGACATTTTCAATCGTGTTGAAGATGAGTTAATTGACACTGATCACTTTCATCAACAATTAACCGTATCAACAACAACGATTAACAATTTAACTCCAATGATCTGGTCACCTAACGGTTCATCAATTGATATCAATGAGCTTAACATCAATTATTATATTAAAACAAATGATAACACAATTGACTCGATGGCAACAACAATCAACCAAACAGAAAAAGATTATGAAGTTTATTACTTTTATCAGGTAAGAGTTATGATTATACCCTAAAGGCATTTATATAATCTAACTAATATTATATATCACCAAATGGTCAAGTTGATCATCAAAGTTGATAACAGATAATTATTGATCTTTGATAACAAATATACTTTTTAAAACTGGCCATTGATATTATTGGTTCGGTTATCACAATGGATTTGTTTTCATCACTATCATCATCATGAATTAAGTTTATCCCTCACAGAAACTGAAATTTATCACGAATCGTGAACACCATGAATACCTTATAAAGCTATTGACATTTTCATTGTGATTTATGAGCTTCTGATAAAATGATTATCCTTGTGTGTGTTTTTATCATATTGATAATATTGATGAATGAGAGTCAATGGTTTCTACCTGTTAAATGGTTACTATCAGTTTCATGGTGTTTATCATAGTCTTTCTGAACTTTTTTCATGAGGTTCAACTTTTTGTTTTCTAATCTGCATGAAGCTCATGAAATAATTGATGATTCTGCAACTTTAGATAGACTGAGAGTAAGAAAGACACAATCAATCATCATTTTTATCATCGAGTTATATATTAGATGAGTAGAGAAAGTTTTTTACATTGTTCTCAACGATTAGAACTCGAAAATAAAAAATTCGACTCAACCGATTTACTGTACAAACAGATTATCCTGAGATGAGATAGTTTGATCATCTTATTAATCTCATATTGTATTTAAGGTTGAATCTTTTTCATATTGTCAACGATTTGGTGGACCATTTGATGACCACATTGATAAATAATAGAGTTAACTTGAATTCAATTACAATTAATTAATTGTATAAGAGTATATTTATTTTGATCATTCCTCTAATTAAAGATGCAGAGTAAACAGAAACAATAACATCACAAATGAGCAAAGTTTCATGACAATTAGATACAAACCTCACGAGATTAACTGAATTAACATTGAAAATCAATATTAACATGAAAATAAGCATCAAAGTCAATCAATTGATCAACTGTAACTCTAACTATCATCATCATCATCATCATCATCATCATTAGTAATCATAATAAATATAAACTAGATTAAAACCCACAAAACATAATCATCTCAATTCCATCAACAACAATTAACAAACATTAGTTGTTAAACCATAAGCAAGAAAAAAGGTCACAGGCAAGAAAGGATATTATCGTTATTATTGTTACAATTTAATCTAATCACTATTGGGTATCATCAATTGGAAAATTAAGTTAACAATTAACAAATTGTCTTGATAAACAAAAACCAAGACAAAGAAGTAGCAAAAAATAAACAATAAGCAATGAAAACCTTGGGAAATGTAAAAAAATTGACAGTTACTTAAAGTTAATTAACGACAATCAATATATTATAATAATGATTATAGTTAATGCCCATCAACGGGGACAGTATTTACTGTTGATTATCACTATTAAAAAACGCAACGGTCTTAATCATCATCTATTAATATTAAATTGTCGACAGGTAAATAAATTATTAACACTCAGAACTATTATTGATCAAACTGGAATTGAGAAAAAAATTTTACCCAATAAATTATTAATATATAAATATCTTAATATCTGTTATTGGAATCTAATTGTTTCCCTTAATTGTTGAAAATGAAACGATTCATATGTACATATAAATATAATCTCAAGGTTTTGACAACAAATTAGACTCTGTTAATTTAGTTGATTATGATCTGTATGCAATTACATCAAGTTGATTAGTTGATTGTTTCAAATATGAAAAAATTTTCAAGGTTAACTTGTAAATGTAATCATTTTTCATTATTAATTATTATTGATTGCAAATGATTAATAACTAAATTAACTTGTCAACAAGAATTGCTATTTTCTTTTGTATATTCTCAACCAAATTAATTAATCATATTAATCACAATTAAAGTTTGTGCTTTAGATTAAAAAGAAAAGTTCTAAGAAATTGAAATTCTGATTTCGTATCGAGTTTAATCAGATTACAAATTAATCCTTTTACCTCATATTTTGCTCCTTGATTACGATTAACAATTTACCTGAGTGGAATTTGATAATCACGATTAATTTAATGATCCACATATTACTAATTAAAACGAGGAAATAAAAAAAAGGATTGACATGATTACCTTTGGTATTATTTTTTCTTGCTCGAAAAACTTTTAAGTTCTAATGTAAAAAGTTTCGAGTGATATTTTGTTTATTCTTAGGTAATTTTGGAAATTTTTTAATAAAATTTTTTTCTGTTCTTCCATTTGGATTAAATTTCCAAAGTTATGAAATTCTAAGTTAATTAGTATAATTGTTATTCGTTTTTCAAGCTGAAAGTTAATTAACATTTCCAATTCTCTTCCATCACCTTGATTTTGATGTTTAACTTGATTTTCTGTTTCGAAAAATGGAAAATGATTAATTATAATTACGTTAATTGTGATGATGATGAAAGTCAATCAATGTAACTTATTGAAAGATTCAACAAAACAGTTAAACTTAATTTCAGTGTTGATTTCTGATGATTGACAAATTGTTTGTCTTGTTAAAAGTTAATCATGATTAGTCTGGATTCTGAAGAGGATCAAGATTAATTTTAATCAATTTGAAAGCTTAACAATCAACAGAATTAAATATTGGGAATAATTTATTTTGTAACAATTTATTATATATGAAGCTTGATTGAGATAATAATAACCTTGATAATGAATGATTATTGATACATTGATATTAATAATAATCAATCAATCAAAATTTGTTCAAAATCAAGATGATCAACCTTTTTCACCAATGGTCAGTATAGTGGTCAAGTTTTAGGTATAATTGATTGAATAACAATTAGTGGTGACAGTAGTGATTAAGATTATCTCATTAATTAGAGGTCACTAATTGTTATCTAATGATAATTAAGTCAAGATTTTTTTTCTTTGTTTATTCTTGATCATCTGTTTTTGACATGGTCACTCGAGTTGGTCATTATCTAATCATTAGTTAAACAACAACATCTCCATTAATGACATTACAATAAAATGACCCACTAATGGCTTAGGGTTATCAACCTTTCCCATGATAAAATCCATGGTGATGACCAATGAACAATACTGATTACAAGTCCTTCAATTTTGAAAGTTTTTACTTTCACGAAAATGATGAGAGAGTAATTTTTATATAAATAATAACTCGAACTGACCAATGTATTATATGGATATTTGAATTCTGTAATAATGGAAAAGCCCCTTTTCCTTATGATCTAAATTAGATCATAAATGCAAGTAAGATAATTGGATTGGACCCTAAAGGAAATGGAAATGATATTGATCATCAATGGAAAACACTGACCGTAAGGTTACATCCAGTGTCCATTATCACTCTAACATTTAGTTTGATTTGTTTATCTAAAGTTAGAAGTGATAATATTATCAGAATTATTTTTCTCTTTCTAAAGTGATTCAGTTGACATTTTCACTTATCTTCAAGTTATTATTATCATTATTTTCCCTCCCTGATTCATGGAAGTAGCTGAATATACCCTCATGTTTATCTCCCTATTCTGTTGAAATAGAAACTTTTTTATTCTCTTTCTAAAATCAAGAGCATTATCATCATCATCATCATCATCATCATCTTCTTCTCCTTCTTCCATATCCTGATTATCATCCTCATCTTATTTTTTCTCATCATCTCATTGTCTTCATCCTGTTTTTCATGAGACTTGATAAGATATCAAAATCAGCTCACATTTCATAATAATAGTACATTAGTAGTAGCCCAGAATTCATAAGATAAACTCATCACAATACTAAGAGATGATTCATGAAAATTTGTTCTTCAACATGAATTTCTCGTTCCATCCCACCCACCACCCACCTAACCCACTCTTAGATGCACTTTTGAGCCTATTATACGTTCAGTACTTTGCTTAGTTTATCATGGAGATAAATTAAGTGAAAACAGTTTTAAGCTCATTGAAATTTAATGATACTAATTTAATAACATGATGAAAAACAATGATATTAATAATGAAGACAAAGATAAAGATGATGGTGATGATGACGATGCTCATTAATATTAACAACCTGAAATTACATGTATTAATATGATCCTCATGTATTAAGATGAAGCAATGAAACAAAAAAAGTTGTTGCTCTCGAACTGAGAGCTGGAGGAACAAAAAAAAAGTTCTAATGTGAACTTCTTGATATTGAATATATTGTTTTTCACTTTCATTGAAATAATATCATCATAATTCAGAATCATGATCAACAATCATCATGTAATATTGTTATTATCGTGATATATTATCATGGTAATTTGTTTTTCGCTTTTCATCTGTGAGTTCTTTCTGAGTTTTTATCCCAATTGATGATTGAATATTTTCATCAATTTTTTCATCTTTTTTTCTTATCATCATCATGCTTGCAATTCAATTTACTTTTCTCATGATTCATCATGAAATTTCAGAGTCAGAACTTTTTTTACGGATCAGAATAATAATTTAACAAGAGTTTCTCTCTCTCTCTCTCCCTTTCCATTTCAATTTCACTGGACAAATGGGTGGACATTGATTCAATGTATCATCATCTTCGTTGGTCAGTTGAGGGAGAATTGAGAAAAGGAAGAGGTAAGAGATGAGAGAGAAAAAGTTCTAATACATTTTCGAATGTGAAAAGAGAAAACAATTTTTCTTATCCAGTACACTTTTCCTCGTAATGATTACAGATTAGATCTAAATGTAATTATATTACGATCTATGTTGTTGATACAATTAAAATTGTCACGAATTCGTTAAATCGTTTCACCCATAAGGTATCATGTTAATTGCAAAATCAATGTAATTTTCGTTGTAAATTAATTTAGCAAAATGAACAAAAGTTATCAAAGAGATACTCTTTGTTAATTACATGCATAAGTACATGATTGAGAAAGCAATTAACAATTAGATATAATAAATAGAATGTAATAACACAAAGATGGTAGAAAAATGGTGAACAATTTACCTACTAAGCAATAATTTT